CCTGGAGCAACCGGATTTCCTGGCTTTCAAGGAGCAAGGGGTATCAGCGGTCCTCCTGGTCCACCAGGTGATTGAATGTCATCCTTTTTTGAGTGTTTTAGAGGCTCCCAGACCTAAGCAGATATGCTTGTCTCAACGTCTGGCTTGGCCCAATCCAGAATCCCAAACAAAAACAATGACAACCCTCTTCTTCCCTTCTTAAAAATCTCTTTGATTCCTATATTATTTGATGAAACATTCTGAACAACTTCCTGGTGCATTCAAAAGCTTGCACACGCTATTTTGAAAGACTACTTCAACCTAATAGAGGTCATGCCTTCTGAAGGAATTTAGAAGTTCCCCCAATTTTTGTAAACTGTTTTCATCTAGACGGTAATTAGTGTCACTAAATTCAACCATCTTCTAGGTATTTTCTTAAATGAAAAGCAGATCAAGCTTTCCTTGTGCGTCTGTTGTGTTTCCTAGGTAGCTGGACATTACATATTAATTTGGCAATCGAGCTCTCCAGCTCTATTGTCCCAAGGAAATCCAGCATTTATATAACTCTGAGAAATGTCTCACCTTCTCACAGGGCAGATGCAACTTAAAACATATTACAGTCTTACAGGCTAACAAAACAAAACCCATTTGTTTTGGGTGAAAGACTAAAGAAATACTCTAGGCCTATAAATCAATCAATTAATCATTCTGTTATCTAATCTCGTTCGTTCCAGAGGGAGCCCCCACCCTCTGGAACGAACTACCCCCAGAGATCCGGGTGATCCCAGATCTCCCCTCCTTCCGCCGCGCCCTAAAGACATGGCTTTTCCAACAAGCGGGATTGGCCTAGGGAATTTTAGTGGGGTTTTTAAGGGTAATTTTAATGACTAGGCCTTTACGAATATTTTCTTTTAATTTGGTTTTAATATTGATATTTGTTGTAATGTTGTTTTATAAGGCTGTTAGCCGCCCTGAGTCCGGTGAGGAGAAGGGCGGGATACAAATCAAATTATAAATAAATAAATAAATAAATAATCTATCAGGCTATTGCTAATTTGTACTTCAATGCACCATTCAAGGAAAGTAACGTCCCAACTCATGTCACAGGATCATATAGTCAAGTAAGAGTAGTAATAACTTCAACTGAACCGTGGGACAATGAAAATCCATTATTTTTCATTCAAAGGTCTGCCTGCCAGTCTAGATACTAAGCTACAAAACGACATCAAAGAACTCCAACGTAGAATCGCCCAAATGGAAAGAGGTATGTTTTTAATGGCTTCCCTTTCTCTTTTTCAGATTAAAAGTGGGTGAGTAGTTTTTATTCTTATTCCCTTGCGTCACCAAGAAAGCTGAACGAGAACAAAGCTGTTCAGAAGACTATGCCATATTATAATCGTTAATGCCTATCTGGGTATTATTGAAAGTGATGATCCAGGAAAATTCAATTTCTGGAATGGGGACTCTTTTTTTAAAAAAAATTACCAACTGATAAAGAACATGATAACCTAAAGTTAGATTGTCCCTCTATTTTTAAGAGTATATTCTATCCAGCATATTATTCAGAGGACTTCATAACGTTCACTGATTTGGGCTCTCTTTGAGCCCAATTCATTTCACAGGACTGTTATTTTTATAGGGTAAATAAGAGGAGGAAGCCTTGCTGGATATATCATCACCTTGAGTTATTTCTAAAAAAAATAAATAAATAAAGGCAGGATATAAATAAATAAATAAATAAAAATGCTTGTTGACCAGCTTAAGTTAAAAACAACAACAAAATAGTAAAAAAAAA